AAAATTTCAGAATTTCAGAGTTAGAAGAGATCTCAGTGGTTAACTAGCCTGATTCATACCTGAACAAGAATTATTCCCATATCAAAACTGACAAATAGTCACATGGCCACTGCTCCCCTATTCCTCTCACCTAGTCTCTCTGAAATGACCTTCTATTTACACTGCATACATCTTCTACATACCAGTTATTTGCATGCTGTCTTCTCCATTAGAATATAAGCTCCTCAAGGGCAGGGACCTTTCTTGCCACTTTTTTTCTTTTGTTGTATCCTTAACTCTTAGCATAGTTTCTAGCCCTTAATAAATGCTTAAGGATTTGAAAAAAAAAAAGAAGGGGGAAGGGTTTTGTAGTATCATGAGGAATAGCTCTTGTTTCACTATTGTCAAGAAAACATGGCTTGTCATATAGGCAAAAATTACAAGTGTCTTCTCTTGATAAGTACATTCTACTTATAGTAGTCCACGTTTCTGTTGGACTGTCATGAGAAAAGTTAGATGATTTCTTGGATGTTATCTAAGATTAAAATTCCATGATTCTATGTAGTTTTATGTCTTGTCAGCTCAAATGAGTTAACATACGTAAAGCACTTTGCAAACCTTATAGAATTATATAAATTATATTATTATTATTATTGTAGAACCCCAGTAGAATATAAGCTTTGGGATACAGGGGGTTTTATTATTATGATTTGTATTTATATCATCAGTGCCTTATACAATGTCCTCCATAAAGCAGTTTCTGTAATAAATGCTTGTTGGATTGGATGGCAGTCTGCTTAAAAACATCCTTATTCTTGTTCCCAATAGAGTTTAGTTCAAATGGTGTATTTCCCAGTAACATCTTGCCAAGACAAACTGGTTGAGTCACTCACAAGAGACTATCCTAGTTTAAACCAACTGTTTTGTTATTCTAAAAGAGAATGGTCATTATATAGGACCCTAACAGCTGGTATCCACCATCCTAACCCTGTTTTATAAAAATGAAACCATCATTATCTTCAATGGAAATAGAGGGTAGGAGAGGTTACTGAGCAAATGGATCTGCTCTCAGGTGTGAATTTTAGGATGCATTCTGGAAATGTTACTGCATTTGTAACTCAGTTTTTATTTACTTTTGCCCTGAGTTTTTGGTGGGTTTTTTTTTAGCTTTAAGCTTTACTATGGGAAGGAAAAATAAAAGAGAAGACTTGAACTCTGCTATTCATACACTAACTTCCATATGGATTTCCTTGTACAAGTAAGAAAATTACTGTCTAATTATTGGTGCAGAAATTCTGCCCAATCTTCAAGCATTCATGAAATAACAAATGCTATAATACATGATGGTACAAGTGAGGCACATCTTCAGGGATGCTAGTTTTCTGGAATTTTCTTTTACCTTATATTTGACTGAATTTAGAGAAAATAACAAATTGTTGCCTGCCTATTCCAATGTCTTAGTAGGGTTTCCTCCTCTGTGTTGGGAGAAATTTTCTATGCTGATGAGAGCATCATTTATTCATCAGATGTTCTCTGATGAGTGATCTGACAAACAAAGTCTTGTGATTCCTCAGTTTGCTGTACTACAGAACCTAAATATGCTCCAAAGCCATGCAAATAGAACCATTACCTCTCTGTTTTTGAATTTGTAAGTTAATGGCTAAACTTGTTTAACAGCGTTCAGCTTTTATCCTGATTCCTGAGCACCCTGAAGGCTTCTGGCCATTGCAAGCTCATCATAGGAACCCTATTCAAGAGTTCAAATCTAGTTACAAATGTAGCAAATGGCAGACTATAATAAATGAACTGAAAACAAGGAGTTTGAAGAGAAAATAATCCATCTCGTAGAGGAAGAGTGTCCTTAAACACAACTAGAATGGATCATTATATGATCATAGATTTTAAAATGGAAAGAAACTTAGAAGTCATATGATCTGATTCCCTTATTTTATATAGGAAAGAACTGAAGCAAAGAGAAATTAAAGAACATGTCCAAAGTCACACATCTAATATGATACAACCCAGGACCCCCAAATTCAAATCTAATGTTCATTCCATTATGCCATATTTTCACCAAAACTATGAATAGGTGTTAAGGTCACTTGAATCAGTAGTACCAAGAGAGGTGAATACTGCTGGAACTATATCTGTGACATGCAATAGAAAGATTTTGCGTTAGGAACAATATTAGAAGTCATGAGTAGTGAAGTCTTGCTATATACTCAGCCAAGATGTTTTTTTTTTTTAACTAGGAACTCTGTTACCCATTGGTTTATAAATGAAGGTATCCAGGTTCCAAAATGATGCCAAACAACTGTTGAAACTATCATGATTTGTTGAAAAAAGGAGTCAATTACTGGTGGTCCTACTTTAAATACATTTCATACTAGACTCAAGTAACTGGCTGTCTTAGAATTGTCTAGGAGAGTACTTACAGCTAGCAACTTATAGGAGAAAGGAGTGAACATTTCTTGGTCCCATAATCACATCTCAGATTTTAAAATATAGAAGCACTGTGAGAATGCCTATTGCTATTACTTCAACTGTAGACCATAGAAATGTAGTCCTTGAGTAAACCATTTAGGCCAGAGATACTGTAGCCCATAGACCCCAAAAGGGTTCATGGATGATTTTCAGGGTATCTGTAAACTTGAGTGTAAAAAAAATTACACTTTTATTTCAATGTAGCTGGTCTCCTTTGTAAACTAATTCAATTTATTCCACGTATTTAAAAACATTCAAACTGACAAAGGGGTCCATGTCACAAGAAAAAGCTAGGAACCCCTGATCCAGCTGATGTAAAATCTGACCTCTACTCCCCATCACTATAATGGAATACCTATGATGTATGCATCATGTTAAAGCTTCCTACCAGTTTCCTTAGCGATCAAAGGGTATTTTTCTTCTTGAAGATACAAGGAAGACCCTACATGGTTTTGTAAATACTGAATAATGCTGTCACAACAACCATTATCTTTACTGCAATGGCTACCTTCTTAAAGACTTCTCCATTTCCCTTCTCCATTTCCTTCTGTATACAGGAGGTATTGGAGGTGGGGAAAGAGAAAGAAATAAAGAGAATTCCTTCAGTGATCAAAGGACAATTCACAAGCAAGAAATACATAGCACAAGATACATTAATTCCATCCATAATATTCATCAAATCATTCACTGCAATTTTCTCCTTGCAATCCCTTCTTGTTTATTTGATCACTTGGTACCCAGTTTTTCTTCTTTCATAGTACCAGTCAACCAGGTTACATGATCCAGAAGCATTACTCTCCCTATAACTGTTTAAATTCAGTTCTAAAGACTTTTTCAATTCATTTCTTAGCTAGAGACTAGATCGTCAAAAGAGCAGTCAAGGTGCCTTTGTCAGAAAGAAGCCAGACTTATGTCTTGTTTGCAGAGTGCCTCTCTTATTCATAAATCAAAGCATGAGCACATTAGGTCAGTGCAAAACACTAAGAAACACTGTGGCTTCCCATTAGAAGGAAGTACAATTATTCTGCTGGTTCACATTTTTCAAAAGGCCTGACATTTTGAATAATTGATAAGTGTATAATTTCTTAAGGAGAAGTATATTTTCAGTAATGGTCATTCCCCATAGAGGAGATGCCCTCTGTCCTCTGTGGATTTATTTCATAAGGTGCCATTTTAGAAATCTCTCTTTCTCTCTTTCTCTCTCTCTCTCTTCTCTCTCTCTCTCTCTCTCTCTCTCTCTCTCTCCCTTCCTCCCTCCCCCTCTTTCTGTCTGTGTGTATACAGATGCTATGAATTGCATGAATATTAACATCAGTTGACCAAGGAGAGGGTCCCATGAAGGTGAAAGAGCATGTCAAAATCACTGTTAATCTCACAAATAAAAGTAGAATAGATTTCTATTTTCTTTTGGTAAGATGTTGTTGTTATTGTTAGGGGGCAGGGGAAGAGTTGGAGGAATATAGAAGCTAGTTTTCAGTGGTATAGAGCACTCTGTATGTTGAAATTCCCTCCACTACTGTAGATAGACACCTTTGTCTATTGAGCATGTAACAGAGATGATATTTAGATAGAATCTTAGTAGTACTTACTAATATTTGTTTAATTGTTCTGGAAAACTAGGAAAATCCCAAAATACAACTTGCCCTCAAGTGAATAGTATGCTAACATTTCATATTACACAGAATTACATGGTACTTGAACCTATCTCTTTCTCAATTTCTTGTCTTGTCACTTCAAGTGATAACATTTTATAGTCTCATTGACCATCCAGGAACACTTAGAGTCTCTTTCTGAGGTCATTACTGACATGGTTATTATGAAAAGACATTTTGTCCAACCTTGATTTCTTATTCTACAATTTTTGATGAATATGATTAGAATTATACTCTCCAGTTGTTCAGTTTGTCTATATGGTCTAGGTTAGAAGAGAGGCTAGCTGTCATGTTTAATCAAAATAATTTCATATATGAGCATTTATAAGGACAACAATGTCTCATGGTGTCTTACAGTCATGCTCCAAGCTAAAGGAAATATGACACTGGCACAGATGTTACAGTACAATAAGACCAGAGTTTAAATGCATGTACAAGTTTGGTGACAACGTTGATGTGTTTTCAACAAGACATTTAACAGAAACCTACATAAAATAAAATAGTTAAATTTATCAAACATTGATAAATTTTTAAAGACAGTATAAAAGTACATAAAACATGGAAAAGACTAAAAATACCAAGTTAATACATACAAATTTACTACATTTATATTACAGAATGATGGAAAATAGAGACAAAAAGAAACAGCCTGGGGACAAACAGCAAAGAAAGTTCCACCAGGAGCAAAGAGCAGACTTTCCTTGCTGAGTGATGGGACACACAACTGCACAACCCATCTCATCCACGCATATGCACACATAGAAAATTAAAAGCAAATGTCAAGAGTCTACAGGTAACAAATGACAGACAGAGAGACGTGAGAAGCATTTGGCATGTTGCGTGCGTCACGTGAAGTCATTCACGATTGGCTAACGATGATGGTACCTGGCTCTGTTGCAGATCGCTGGCTTGCCTGAGAGGAGTAACTGATGGAGGAGGCACACCTGATGTGGATGCAGACCGACCTAATCTGCAGCTTACTTTAGGCTCTGTGAAGGAGGGGAGAAGACAAATAGTTAGCATCACTGACCTCAATTCAGGCTTGCGAGAAGTGAGGAAATGAACCTCTCATATAGAGTGATGTCAAATTGATTTCTCTAAGGAACCATTTCATAAGAATATCTTCCATGCAGTTATGATGAGTAACTGCTTTCAAGTTCTCTCTCATTGTACTTTGCCACTATGCATTATATGGGCTATTATTGGAGTTGTTATTAATGGCAATTGATTAAATCCTTTAATGACCAATGATTGTGAACAGTGTTCCATGCTTAGATCAGCAATTTGGGAACAAGAAGAAACATCTGCAAACCACTACATTGGCTGCATTTCTCCTTGTTTATAAATTGATCTAAAAAAGTAAAGGGCAGTTTATTTTAAGGGTTTTGGTCAGTTTCAAAAAGAATCATACACTCTTTGCATTAATATTTCATTATGTTAGGGCAACTTATTCAATGAATGGTATTTTTAGTTTTTAACACTAGCAATCTTGAACAACACCACCACTATCTTGGTGATTACTACCCAATTGATGACTCTAAGTACTTTATTGGCCTAGCCAAAATTATAGAATTGAGCTTGCAGTGATGAAACTTGAACACATGACATGGTAAGGGAAAGAACACTGCTTCTTTGAAGTCAGAGGACCTAACCTCTCATGACTATGATCTATTGGAACTGAGATAAATCAGTCAATCTCTAGGTGCCTCAGGTTTTCATTTGGATGTTAAATTAAATGACCTCTGTGGTACCTTTCCTATGATCATTCACTTAGTTCCTTTATTAAAGTATCTTGTAAAATTTCCTAATACTATACAAAAATACTATGGTATTTACAAATAATCATTTTTAAAGAAATTACAATTTAGGACACAAAAGGGTCATAAACATGACACAGATATAGAGTTTAATCTCCTCACTTTACAGATGAGCAAATAGGTCCAGAGAAATGAAGTGACATACCCAGAGTCACATAGCTAAAAGTATCTAGAATAAGATTAGAACCTAAGGCTTCCTGACTTAACTTCCAGCACTCTAGTCACCACTAACAGTGTCATCTAACCAGTCAGCCTGCATGTGGACCACAAAACTTCAGAGTGCCTCCTGAGCCAGATTAAAATGTAATTGGGAAACGTTTAATGGAATAACTATAAAATATAATATAATATAATATAGATAATGTTAATTTGTGGTTTTCTAAGTCAATATGCTGCCCACAGTGATCTATTTCTACTTGAGTTTGGCACTACTGCCCTACACCACATTGATCCTTAAAAATATCTTTCACTGCTAAAAGCTAATAGATAGTTTAAGGAATCTGGCAAAGCCATTTAAGTAAAATAATTGTTATTGAAAATGAAAAAAAGGGATGAAGACATTAGCACATTGGATTTAATTAATAAAATTATGTTTATGTTTATAAATGTATAAGTTAAGTTTTAGTTCCTCTCTAGTTAGTACTTTTTCCAGACTCTCCAAGCCTTTCTCTAAAATACCCCATAAACATCTTCAATCAGATGCCTCCTTTGTATTTCACACACTGGAAGTAACTATTATGCTTGAAGAAATTGACTATGTAGTAGAGGAGGAGCCAGAAGATGTGAGCAGTAGAGATCAGTGGAAAAACTTTATACACGAAGACTTCTAACTAGTGATTTTAAGTAATAGTGAGAAACTTCCTGTGGGCTTTGTGGGATCAAAGGTTACTTGTTCATTGGTCTTGGTTTTCATTCAATAAAAATGTTCATGATTATAGGCCTTCTTTGCTGTATATTGGGGAGAATATGCCAGGTTTCTTTAGTCGACGCTTGAGTCGAGTATGATATTCTTTAATGTTTAATCTGTGGACTTCCAGCAAAAGATGCCTGATAACTGAATTCAAACAACCAAGCTCCTATGTACGTATTCCAGCAAAAATTTAAAAATACAACCAAAGCAATTAATGATAAAGAAATTCAATAAAAATTATAGTGACTACTCCAGAATCACACAACTAGACAGAAGCATATGGGCAATAGGAAAGGAAGTCTTTTAGAAATGTCAGCAGTACTTCAGGCAAACTATACTATAACCTCCAACATGACCAGTCAGAGACTCTTTTTATCTTCAAGGCTCTGTATTTGAAGGCAGCAAGAGCAGACAGTTACCCCAAAAATGACCTTTAGGGTGGTAAGAAATTAAGATCAGGAGCTATGAGAGTCACCAGAAGTATTATTAACAGTGAATGTGGCTGAAGAAATGCTCAAACTGAGACACCGAAGAATCAAGAGCACAAAAGTCCCTATCACTCTCTCATGAGACACGAAAAAAAGATCTTGGAGATCCAACATTTTGATCCTCAAATATTCAGGGATGTACTCCTGTGCATTGGAGGTCAACACAAGAATCCAGTTGAATCATGTTGAGACAAAGCAGGGGTCAGAGACTGGCTCTGGCACAAAACTCTGATTAGGGAACCAAAGATGGATAAAATGATAACATGAATGATGAAATGAACAAACACCATAAGTATTTTAATAAATGCAAAAATACAAAAAGTCTATTATTGAAGGAAATATATATCTCTATAAAAACTGAAATGAGAAACTGAAATGAAAAAGTGTATTTTCAAAAGAGGAATATATGAATACATCAAAGTAATAAACAGGAGATGAACAAATATCTTAGAAGACAAAGTCATAACCTTAACCAAATGACTGAAAAAAGTAGAATATTTAAAGTGTGTGGTATAAAAAACAACTGATCTGGACAACAGGACAAAGAAAGTTATCAGACTGTCTGAATATCATTTCTAAGAAGCCTAAATACTGTATTTCAAGAAATCAGAAAAGAAAATTCCAAGATCTCTTACAGTAGGTGGTGGCAAAGTAAACATATGATGAATCTACTGATCATCTCTTGAAAGAAAAGCCCGAGGATTTTGGAAAGAGGCAGAGTAAGACAGAAAATTCCAAGCTCTCAAGATTTTCCCCTACAAGAGATAAAAATAACACCTCAGGGTGAATATAGAGTGCTAAAAATAAATAAAATAAATAAAAGTAAGAACCAGCACATGCCTGGTGAGTGCAGAAGAAGTGGAGTGGGGATACTACTGGCTATGGGCACTTACAGGAGGCTGGAGGTCTCGGTGTAGGTTCTAGGCCAAAGGGGAAAACTGAAGGGGCATTCAAGGCCAGAGGTACCATCCCCCATACCCTAGAACTAGAGGTGATTACAAAAACTAAGCTATTACAAATTTAAAAAATAAATGCAGAAACAAAGAAGAAAGAATTCTAATACAGAGAGTTATTATGGGAATAGAGAAGACTGGGGTTCATCTTCAGAGAAGGATACTGAAGCAAAGAAATCCTCTTCTACCCCAAAGAGTAATATCAAATGGTCACTTGCCCAAAAAGAATTAATAGAAGAACTTTAAAAGAGCCTTTAAAAATCCAATGAGAGAAATTGAAGAAAAACAAAAATATAATAAACACACAAAAGGAACACTCCAAAAAAAAAAACCCAACAAGATTATGAAAAGAAAGCCAACCAATTAGAAAAGGAGATCCAAAATTTTAAGGAAGAAAATGACTCCTTGAAAATCTGAATTAGGCAAAGGGAAGCCAGCAAAATTATAAGAGATCGATAAATAACAAAACAAAATATAAAGAATGAAAATAATTGAAGAGAATGTGAAATATCTCATAAGAAAAATAACCAATCTGGAGAATAGATCAAGAAGAGAAAACATAAGAATAATCTGACTACCTGAAAGGTATGATAGAAAAAATAATCTTGATACAATAATACAGGAAATGGGAGAATAAGAGAGGGATCTTTGGGAGGAGAGGGGAGAGTGAGGGAATAGATCAAGGGGTGGTATAGAAGGATGTTTAGATTTATGGGAATGGGAGGATAAGAGAGGGATACTTGGGGAGGGTAGTTTAAGTAATAGGAGAGCAAAATAGTGGGTAGAAGTAAAGTAGAGGAGTTAGGAAGGATAGGAAATAAAAGATACACATCAGAAGTAGAATTTGTTACTGAGTGCACATTTCTATATATGTATGTATGTGTATATATACATATATATATGTATGTATATATCTATATATGACTATATTAATGCTTATTGTGGCCTTCTGGGGGAAAAAGAACAAAGTAAAATTGCACAGCAGAGACTAAAAGAAAACTTACAAGGAAGCAAAGAAAGGATGGACAGCTCTCAACACAATGCATAGCATTCATTATATAAGCTTTCTTGAAATGGAAATTTATTGCTATGTATTTTGAATCCTCTCGTATTCTGTTGTGCACATGACATGTTTTTTTATTTTCTTATTTTGTATTTAAATTTCAATATTTATGCTTATAACACTTCTTTTTCCTTTTCTTATTGTGTATTTAAGTTTTACTAATTAAAAAAAAAAAGAAAGAAAAGCCCAAAGGAAAAATCTCAAGATTGTTATAGCCAAATTCCAGGGCTTCCAAGTCAAATTAAAAAAAAATGTTACCAGCAACAGAAATAAAGATTTTTAGTTCCAAGGAATCAGTCAGTATTACATAAGCCCTGAAACTTCTCTTTTAAATGACAGAAGAGCTTGGAATTCAATATTTCAAAAGCTCAAAATCATTTTTGGCTTATTTGCAAAAATAACTTACCATACAAAGATGAGAATAATGCTAAAGGAGGGGGAAATGGATCTTTAATGGAATAGAGAATTTCAAATATCCTGGATGAAAAGACCAGAGCTGAGTAGGAACTATAAATGCAAACATAAGATTCAAGGGAAACCTAAAAATAGAACTTTTAGAGAGTATATATGATTCTGAAGGTCCAACATTTAACAGAAGAAGAAGAAATAAGAAATAAGTACCTTCAGAGTGTTAATTCTTCAAATGATATTGAGGGATTATGAGAAAATGGAGGAATTGAGGATGGATTTCTTCTATTGTAATGGTTTAATAAGAGTAAAAGAAAGAAGGGAAAATGAAATACAATAGGGTGGCAAGG